GGGCTTGTGTCAAACAAGACCTCAAGAGGAGCCCACACATTTCTTCAAACAAACAAAAATTAACTTTTTATCTGGCTCGCGTTTTACAGCGTTCCCAACTGCAATAGGCCATATGAGCGCACAGGACACTAAGCATTTTCAGTTTACAAGGACTTTATTTGGAATTTTGCGCAGGTGGAGACAGAAACCTACTTTTATCGATGTTAGGACCACCAAGGCAAGGGATCTAATACGTGCGCAACATGCACATTGGACCTCCGAGATTTTTTCCCCTTATCCAAGAAAACTAGGTGGTGTTAGATCTTACCTTCCCTAAGATCAGTGCTGTAGTTGAAAAACAACAGTAAGAAGGAGCCAGTAGCAGTAAAGAGGCAGCAGAAAGAGTCAGGAGCCCAGAGGAAGGGGCAAGGGCGGAGGCGGGGGGAGGGCAGAAAGTGGAGACAAAAGCAGATGACAGAACATAGTCTAGTAAGAGAGCAGGAAAGGAGGTGGAAAAGGAGAACATTTTTAGAGGAGAAAATTATCCCCGTCACAGTCAGTCTGTCAGGTTTTGAACCCGCAACCTATTGAACGAGAGGCAAACAATGTACCTTTAGACCGCAAGAGCCCCATATTTTATTTAAATTCTAACCTTTCCAGTAACACCATAAAATAAGATGATGGTACACACAATATCAAATACATGTATATTCAAAGAAAAACAAAGTTAATCACTGCTTAGGGTTTATAATGAGATTTAATTCAATTTACTCTCACACTCACTTAAATGGAATATGTAATAGGTGTAATATGCACATTGCATAATATAACAGTTACATTTGTACTTACTACTCATACATTGTATTAAAATCACAATAACAATTCATTGATAAAACCAGGAGAAGGAATTGCTGAGTCCCAAAATGACAACAGAGGACATGCTACTCTAGCAAGCATGCTGCCAGACTCTCAGATGTTAGATCATGGGTTCAAATCCTGGCAACACTTTGACATGAGTCCCAGGAAAAGAAATAAAAACTATTTTCATAAGTTCACAAAGCTATAAGTAAATACTTCGTATTAGGAAATCAGCTAAAGTTGAAAATATCTGGTTGACAGCATTTGCTCACAGAGTGTCCAGCAGTATTAGTATTTAAACCTAAAGGAAAGAGATGGTATAATGGCAAAAAACGGATCAATATAAGGAAAGTAATTAAAAAGTTATAATAGTAGTAGTAGTAGTATTCCATTTGAAGAGATCTGTACTTCTTCTTGAATGGTAAAAAATAATTTAAAATTTAAAAGTTGAAAAAAGGGGCCGGTGTCAACCAAATACAAAATATTACATGTACCCTTTTCAGACTTTGGAAATCAGCCATTTGGAGGAGCAATTCATTTAGACCACCCTAGACCACACAAGTTCTTAGATAAAGAGTAGTAAAGAGTTGCATTACTTGTTAGTATTTGAATATTTCAGACACATATATACACATGTATAATAATATTATTTTTTAAATATTTTTTACTAGAGGTTTTACGGCGCTCGCAACTGCATAAAGTAAAGTCATATGAGTAACAAAGGGCGGATGTCAACAGAGAAGTCCTTACAGGGAATCAGACTTACTCTGCTCACCTCTCTAATTTCAACAGCACAAAGTCAGCTTCAACTGTCAAGGCACCCCGGAAAGAGCAGGTCACAAGAGCACGACAAACACACAAAAGAAGTAGAGGAAAATTGGCGATAGTAAGGATTAGGAAAGAAAAAGCAGCAGTTCCCTGTTGCAGTTCAGGCACACTTATGAGCATGACATCGATGAATCAGTCAATTTACAATTTTACAGAGCATAAGAACAGGTTAATGTCACCCCTTTGGGAATGGCCTAAAGACACTTCAGTCAGTAGCACCGCCCTGGAGGTATAACATTATTTTAAAAAACCATTACAGAGAGAACTCAGGGGGGAAAAAGGGTCCAAACCACATATCACTGACTGTCAGATTAAACAATGTTATTTTAAGTCTTCACAGAGTATTGGCAACAACAAGTCGTGGGAATACATCATTAGCAAAGTCAGAAAAGAAACGCTGAATAATCAGAGGAGGAAGCAAGACCCAGAATCTGGAAGCAACCCATCTAAGGAAGTTCATTAAAAACCATAATAAATGAAGCACCTTTTAACTTAAAGTATGAGGTATACATATGACCTGACCAAATATGCATGAGAGTACCCACCCGGCCCACCTGCAATCCATAGGATTTGTCTTGGGTATATGAGAGTTCACTTAGAATCCAGCAAGAAAGAACATACATGTACAGACCCACACCAAACAAATATATGTGAGCACAGTACACATACACACACACATACACACACACTCACACACAAACAAACACACATACAAACACACACACCACACACACACACACACACACACACACACACACACACGCACACACACACACACACACACACACACACACACACACACAAACAAACATACATTTGTGTCAGGACGCGGTGGAAACAGGCGCTCGTCAATTAATAGACATGTCGAGTTATTGGTATCATTTTGAAGCTTGTTCATTTGTCTTGCATTCGGCAAAAATAAATACTCATCTATTATGAACAGAGGTCGAGATATTTGTGATTGAAGGAGGTGGGGTCGCCTGGTTTCATAGTTAAAAATAACAAGAAAATGGCCACCAAAGTTTGGCGACTTACATTTTTGTGCTTTACAACAATATTTTTCAGTAAAATCAGCACAGAAATGTGTTTTTAATTTTAAAGGACCTGAAAGGTGTTGAGTCAAAAAACAAACATCGATAAAAATTGCCAAACGGACAGAAAAATGCCATTTTCTTCGATTTCATTATTTTGACGAGCACCTAATTTCATCACGATGCCTCACATTTATACATATAATGGGCATACATAATAAATGAAAAGTACAAGGGTAGATCAAAGGGCTGGAGTCCAGATTTGGAAAACAGCACTATATATATAAATTTCTTTGTTTTGAAAAAAAATGTGAATTGGACTAAAACACTAGGACCATAATAATCATTTACCAAAGATATAGAACTGAAATCACAGATGCCCCAAAAGTTAACACTCCATTTAGTTTGGGCTACTGCTAAATTAGATCTAACAGTTTCAAGTCAGTAATTTATTCCACTACAAGATGTACCATTTTTGCGAAATTTTGGAAGGGTGGGCAGAGAAAAACATTGTGCAGATTAAAGAATGCAATGACCAAAGCAATCATAAGAGCAGTATTCACTAATTAGACACAAGAACAGCAAGTCCAAATGTATGTCACAGGTCAATCACAGCCCCAAATCTGTGTGAAAAGGTAGCCACTTTGATAAAAAATGAGAGTCTACTTGCATGATTTAGACATCCCTTACAAGCAAAATGTGACTGAAAATAAAAATGTTGTTATGAACTTCAAGAACATTTTTTCCCGATTTTTTATTATTGTATTTGCTAGTCCCCCCCATCACATACAATGCTATATGTATCATAAAATGAACATATAATATGTACACACAATGTACTCATTTATGTATGTTCTTTTGTTGTACGTCATATTTCCATTCCAAACATCTTAAAGTACAAAAATTTACTCAACCATTGACAATAAGCTGAATTTGTTAGCCACATCAAAGCCAGCTACGGTGCTTATTTCAGAGGGTTCCTCACTCTCTTCCTTCCAACTGTCTGACTTCCCCTCCTCAGCTGACTTTTTCTTGTCCTTTGCTTTCCTCTTTCGTGATTTCTTGTTACCTTGCAAAGAAGACTGATCAACATATTGTTCTTCACCTACATAGCCGATCACTTGTGAGCGGAACAACATATACACCCCTTGAAGAAGTGAGTCACTGCCTATGAGAGAGGCCAGAAACAAATCAGGTCTAGGGCGGACCATAAGCTCATTGAAAAGATTGTACAGAAGAGTGCCGTTGATCAACTGTGCAGGTCTGGGATTTGACACCGGAAGATGCAACAATTTGTTCAAGTTGAGAGCATCAACCACACAAGCTTGGAGTTGGGCAAAAGCATGGGTCACCTGTGGCTCATACACAGTCTTACGGTTAAACACAGGTGGTTGTCTGTGATACTTTGTCAACTTTTGTCTCAATTCCTCAAGAAAACCAGATGTACATGTTTCACAAGTTTGTATAATATCCACACATTTTTTGTCCAAGCTGTACAAACTGCTGCACTGTAAAGGTTTTCCAAGAGCAGAACCAAGAGCATTCATTTCATTTTCAGTATCTACCTGCACATGAAGGTCTGACTCCACACTTTCAGTGTTGGTGTTCTTCCTCTGACTCCTCCTCTCCAACACCAAGTTAGCAGTAAGTACAAGAACAGAGACAATGACTGCATCTAAATGAAGATGTGACAATTTAGGTTGTGCACTGCGGGACCAAGCTACAAGACAAGCAACAAACAGCTTCAGATCCTCAGAAAACTGCTCAATCCAAACATGATCAATCTGCATTGCTCCCCAAAGTATTTCTCTACATGTTTCTTGTGGCAATGACGACAACTCAGTCAGACCTGGAAGTACAATATGGCTGACCTTGAATACAGGCTCAATAAGGGACTTTTTCAGACTTTTGTTTAAACGTCCATACTCTTCTATACACCATTGTTTTGAGGGTTGTGCATCGGCTTGAACAAGGCATGTTTCCTCCTGATCAGCTAAAGTGGAAAGTTCATCATTGTCGTCCTCAACATCTGCAGTCTCACCGTTCCTGTTAGAAATCAAATCATCATTCTGTTCATTCTCACCAACTTCATCATTCGCCTCTCCATCAATACCTGAAAAGCTCTCATCAACATTTCCTGTATCCATACAAACACTTTCTGAACTCACTGCATCATTGTCAAATGAAGCAACAGACTGTTTCACATGATTTTCCTCACTATTTCTATTTGCTTCCTCATCAGCGTCAACATTCTTTTCAAATATTTTGGATGCACAGTTAGTAGGCACTTGAGAGACAGTACAAGTTTTGCTGTCGAAGTGACCATCCTTGAGAAGTATTCCATAAAGCACATTCCGTATGGACTCTGAGCAGGTGTAAGACGAGTCTTGTTTCAGATCCTCCATCTGACATAACATGATCACCCGGTGAAGGACTGCAGCATTCAGGATGAAAGGACTCAGCTCCCCAAGGCCGGAAGCCTCCAAAAACCATTGAGGAAAAGAAGACCCACCATACTGTAGGAACTCTTCTGATGCACTTATTTGGTACTTGCCTTCAGAAGCAGTACAAAAGAAAAACTTGTGCAAATCAAACCCTTGAAAGTTGTGTACATCACAGTACCCACTGACAGAAGTACGAAACATGGCCTGCACTTTTTCTCTTCTTTCACAATTAACAAATTCCAGCAACTTTTCTTCTACCTTGGACGTATCTTCAACACGTGAATGAAGCCAGTGCAGGACACTGATGACCTTATGCAGTTTTGGGGGCAAATGAAACTTTTTTGAGATAATCTTTGGCACTTTGAAGTGGCGGTAGAAAGACTCAAAGGCACTGGCACTAATGAAATCATTGCCCAGCATACTGGCAAACACTGGCAGCACCGATCGATTGAGACCATCAAAAGATTCTATGAGATCATCGATACAATATTTTCGAACAGCTAGAAAACTGTACTCATCCAGTTCATCTGTTTTCGGTTTAGTAAGCACATTGAAATCTACATAGTCTAAAGGCAAGAATCCTCCAGACATGTCAAATATGTAGAAATCACTGTCATTGCTGATCACTGGGCAGTTGAGCTTGTTGGCTAAAACAGCAATTTCTCCATCAGCTTCAAACTGACAGGTAGCATGTGGGATTTCTAATTCTGCCAAAACTTGCATGAAAGTATCATAGGCTAAGGAAGGCAGAACTGTTCCACGTTCCGTGTTCGATGCACAGTCCACCAATCGTATGCGACCCCTAGCTCGAGACAGTGATGTCTTTAGCTTTCTGCCATCCACTGTATATGCTCCATCCAAAATGACGTAAGGTGTAATACCACATGCTTTGAAAGATTGGAAAGTCGAGATGACTCTCTTACGATAAGTGTCATAGTCTCCTCCAAAGCTGCAACGAACATGCCGACCATAGTAAAGGAAATGATAGAAGTTGTTGCCATCAATGACCACTGGACAGTTGTGTAGTTCATACGAATGAAGGAGGTGTTGATTGCGGTCTATGAAACCTGTCAAACCTCGAATACCCATGGCTGTGGTGATCACTGAAGAAAACAAGAAAAAGAAAAAGACATTATCAAATGCAAAGATGGATGATATTTTCAATAGCATAAACATAAATAGAACATATCAAGAACTTATTTTTCATTCAAAAAGAAAAGCTCATTACTAATTAAACAGTGACATCTTCTTTATGAAAGGCATAAAAATAGAACCTACAAAAATTTTCTAGGACGTTTAAATTAATATACAGTGGAATCCTGTTATAACGAGAGGGAGGGGACTGGTGCGAAATATCTGTTATAGCCAGATTCTCGCTATAAGGGATCCAGTAATAAATTCAAGGGAAATAATAAAGCAGGCCTAATCTATGAGCCTGGTGTTCTGTTTATTTCCTTTTGCTATCTCCCCTGATGACGATTTTGTTCAACATGACCTCTAGGTCTTACTTGATCAGAAATCGAATCAGGTTTCTTTCTCTTGCACTAGCGATGTTGACAGCTCCGCGTTGGCAATCAGAAAGAAAGGGCTCTAGGCTATCTTGCCCCATGTGTTGTTCCCCATCCCACCACGCCCTGTGGTGCGTTCCGTCTATTAGGTACATATCTCACCCTGCCCACGTTACACATTCGTTCCATCCATCACAGCACTGTGACCTCTCCATCCCCACATCATAGAAGTGAGAGGCATGTTAGGCCTAGATAATCTAGACTTGGCTGGCCTATCTTGCAATGCATTCTGCTTGTTTGCGCATGCCACACCTTCCCCACTCATTCGCTCTGGCCTTCATTGTTGGCACATGTGGGCTCTCCCATTCTTTGTTTCACTAGATCACCAAGTTTCTCAACTGGCGAGGATTTACACACACACACAATATGTATACATATATATATATATGTATAATTGGCCTACGCATTGTGCACAGCAGCAGCAATATTCCGCTATAACTGCCTTGTGTGTTTGTCTGATAGCGCTACAGCAGTATTTCATTAACAAAGACAAAAAAGGGAAAAAAGCGGGGTTTTAGAATAGCATCTTTATAAGAGACTTCTCGTTATTTCAGGACTCGTAATAAGAGGACTCAACTGTACCATAATGTCTGAAATATCTTTGGCTGCTTCAACTTTCATTTATTAAGTTTACACAAAATATAAAATCACTGCCTGACAATTTTGACTTCAATACTGACTTCATGAAAGACATGCTCGAAATATTAAGTCTCTGATGAGATTCAGACAAGGGCTGGAAAAAAATTCAGACAAGCTAGGCTAGGCAAAATCACCTATATTTATACATTGAAACAAAGAAAACAACCAAAAAAAACTGTCAGGGACCGGAATCGAACCACTCCAAAAATCATAGCATGACTTCAAACGCAGACGCGTTGTCTCTTCGGCTATCAGAACTTCCGAGAGCAGGTTGCAGATTAAGCATGATATACATAGAGACACTTCCATCTTTAGTGCCATGCGGTTGGCTATACTTAGATGTAGTCACGTGATCGGAGCTGTATCCTGGTCTGACGTCAAACAAGATGGGCGCCTTACCTAAAAATATTTGCGTCTTTCTACGTTTAATCGCATGTGTTGAGAACCACTGGTTTCGAAAAAATTGTTGTGTACGTCTCCACTTAAAGTAAAGGAAGTGATTATCCACACCGGGTGTGCGCTTAAAATTTTATTTTATTCACACCGGGTGTGCGCATATATAAGAATTAATATCATTCACACCGGGTGTGCGAATAAGAAATAATTTTATTCGCACAGGGTCGAGCCTACGTTGATTTTGGACCTCGTTTGTCACCACACCCGGGTATCCCACCTTTTGGCAAAGGCTTTTTAAAATGTTAAAACAATTGGACACTAGTCATTAGATCTAGATCTAGAGATCTAGATTTTAGATCTAGATCTTATAACATATTTCAGATTTAGGGTTAAAGTTAAGCATTACTCATCTCTCTCTCTCACTCTATCTCTCTCTCTCTCAAGGCACAAGGAAAACAAAAAAAGAAAAAAAAAGAAAGATTTGTGTCTATCATTGAGTTGACGCAATAGATCTACACAAAACTTGAATTCCAATTTGAGTTGGGTTTTTTTTAATCGCATTGCACAATTAGAATTAGATCTAGAATCTAGATCTAGATCTATCTCTACCAAAGAGAGATTTACGATTGTTCACTAAGCCCGAAAAGTGTACGCGGAAGTCAGCGCATTGCTTCAGATGGCGCTGGAGTCTTTGTTTTGAAGCTCTCTTTCCTTTCTCCAGAAGAAGAATAGGATTTATAAGCAGTCTGTTAATTTTTATTGTTTTTCACACAAGTCCAAATAAGGTCTGTTTGCAAAGTCCGCACTTTTTCGAAGAGGGCGCGGCGCCACCAAATTTTGAGGACACTTTTTTATTTATAGCTCAAAAAGAGGAGCGAACTATCAAGTTAGTTGTTATCCATGATCTTTGTCCCTACGCGAATGAGGATGAAAAAATGAGGAAATGCTAGATCTAGATAATTTCCATTCTTCTTCTGAAACGCCCTGTGCCAATAATATTTTGTAGTAGGCCTATTCACACACCCTGTGCCAATATAATTTCATAATATTCACACACCCTGTGCCCTGTGCGAGAATATAAGTTCATAGTATTCACACACCCTCTGTGCGAATAACATCTCAAAGTATTCACACAGTATTCACACACCCTGTGCGAATAAAATTTCATAGTATTCGCACACCCTGTGTGAATAACTACAGCCTAAAGTAAAATTAGTAATGGCAGCAGTCTATGAATATTAGGGTAATACGGTGGGTAAATTTTTACTTTCACTCTCGCACACAGATGCACTGTTTCAGGGGTCAAACTGCAGTACTGTTTGCTGCAGATCACACATAAAGCCACTAAAACTGTTGCAAATCAATTATTTTCAAGACAATTTCAAATCTAACTCTGTAAAATATCAAATAATGGGTAAAAAAAGGGGGGCATGCCCTGGCCCTGTAACCCCCCAGACTTTCTTTTACCCCAGTGGGGCAGGCCCCCCTGGAACCCCCTGATTGGTCCAAAGCACGTCTATCTCGGTTAAAAACAATCAAATATTTCAAAAACTATTAATTTGCAACGGAAATGAAGTTGATATTCGTGTTCAGCGCATCAATATTTAGACAATTTAGTCGAAAATAGACAACTGGTAGATTCTAGCTGAGTGTGAGACGGGAGGGAAAGTAAAAAAATACCACACAGTGGTTAAAATAGATTAAAAATTGTTTTTTATGAATCTAGATCTAGATATCTAGATAATTTCAACAGTCAACAGCAGCTCATTAAAATAATCATAGGCAAGATCAAGGTGAACAACCCACGGCCCGGCCCACAGACCCTCCTCCACAAATGCTGGAAGATGAAACAACTGCCAACCATTCAAATAGTGAACTGAAGAGGTTTATAACATCAACAAATACAGAAGACCAGAAAAGTAAAAATGGGAGAAAACGGGAAAATCAGAATCACCTATTAGAATTATTTATACTAGAGCTGTAACACATGGCACTCTGCTGGTGGTTCACCGTCACCCTTTCGCCTTTCGCCTTTCACGTTCTTTTTTTTTCCATTCACTCACAACATTTATTTAGATCTATCTTGTAGTTCTTGAAGTTTGAACTGTTGTAATTTGTTACCTTCTTCGGCTTCGTAGATCTAGATTTTCGTGAAATATTTGTTTATGATAAGTTAATAATCGTAGCTGTACGTTTTCGCATCAAATATTTGCTATTTATTTGCTTTTGGTATGATTGGAGAACAATTTATTTTCTTTGTGATAAAGTTAGGCCTAAATAACTTTTTTAAAATCCCTCCATTTAAAAGTTGCATCTACTGTTTTACTCAATGTACCATAATGCTATGAGCCCTCTTTTTGTTTGAAAACAAATCGAAGATCAGTAATTAGTACTAATTACGTCCCTTTCTTTACCTTGAATGAAAGTGAAAGCAAAGGCAAAGCGTTCATCATTCATTCATTGACATTCGTTCATAGGGCCTATGGCGTCGGTTTCGAACTTGACCCTGTGCTTAGCACAGCGGTTGTGGTTTACAGGTAGGCATACATGTGCAAATATTTGAGGGAGCAATGTTTCAACTTGAATTTTACATCCAGAATCTAGATTTTAGATTTTAGATCTCTCTCTCTCTCTCTCTCTCTCTCTCTCTCTCTCTCTCTCTCTCTCTCTCTCTCTCTGTTCTCTAGATCTAGATCTAAATATCTAGATTCTCTCTCTCTCTCTCTCTCTCTCTCTCTCTCTCTCTCTCTCTCTCTCTCTCTCTCTCTCTCTCTCTGTTCTGTAGTGTCTCACTCACAACTCACTCACTCTCCCTTTCTCTCTCACTCACTCTCTCTCCCTCACTCTCTCTCCCTCACTCACTTTACTCTCACCCATACCCACACACTCACACACACACACACACACCATGGGTCTCAATATTCTGCTATAATATTTCGTTATTATAATGTAGATTTCCGCTAGATCTACTGCCATTTCCTCTGCTAAACTGCTCTACCACTACTCTTACTTTTTTACTTTTACTCTTGAAATTAGACAGCCACCTGTACAAACGGCCACTTTCGTTTTCCCCCCTTGCTTTTTTTCTATAAATTTATCAGTGTAAAACGGGCACCTGTCCAACGTGGCCTCAGCCTCCTTATTTTAACACGTCGCAGTGGCTACGTTCACGGTAGGCTAGGTTCACGGCGCCGTGAATGTAGTTGGCAGGCTACGTTCACGGCGCCCTGAAAAATGCAGTTTGCAGGCGCTGTTGAGGCTACATTCACGGCACTCAAGCTGCGTTTAGACGGAGCGTCCGCTGCTGGTTTAAGGCATGATGCGGGGGAAATTTTGAAATTTGTTAAGAAGAAGAAACTAAGCTTACAAATGTGGTAGCATCATTGGGCATTGGGTAGCATCAATATAAAAAGAGTGGAGAATTAAGTCATGAAGTAAAATTTTGAAAATTCTTTTGTATTGCTATGGTAACGTCTGCCATATTGGAATGTCATAGAAAATGCACACATTTCTAAAAAATCTATCATAAGGTTATACATGATTTTAAATGTTACAATAAGTGGTTTTGCAGCCTTCCGTGGCTGTTTTAGAGGATGGACTTGGCATTTTTGATGTAGGAGGAAAAACTTTTCCAGAGTCGAGGTCCTAAATATGGGAATATTTTGACCACAAAAATCTCAGATCCAAACAACGGATTAAATTTATAATAAAATCATTTATTCAAGATTTTTTTATACGTCACTACTTATTACACTAGAATAATGTTTCATCTATCAGTATACCGAAAATTATGACGATATCTTAACAACTTTTCGCATGATAGATTTTTGTGTAAGACATGACGTTCCAGCACTTGCGTGATGTAGTCCACTAAACCAAGGCATCCGGTAATTCTCACGAGAGCGGCTTTGTTCATTCCACCCCAGGCCACCCAAAACCATGGCAGTTTCGTGGCATCTGTTCCTCACTGACAGATGTTCAAAATCTTACAGGGTCTGTGTGCAAAAGAGGTTTCGAGCTCGGTAAGAAACCAACAACTCCTGAACAAAGACAAAATTAAATAAAACTTATGAACACAAGTAACTCTGTTACGTCCAGGTTTTGTGAGGCATTTGCAACTGCTCTGTTTTTCAATCTTCATTAGTTTTCTGTTCAGCTCTTCGTTGTTGGTGTTTTGGAAGCTCTGAAGGGCATTGAACAGACGGGTCTCGTAGTTGCAAGAAATTTTTAAAAAGATAACCGTGTTATCAACTTTCCTTATCTCTTTACTGTATAAAAATGCATACATGATATGAAATACGCTTGCAAATAGTTTGAATGAAAGAATGAATATCTGGTTCTGGGCCAAAGACATAATACTCGCGCGCGCGCACACACACACACACACACTGACACACACTAGTCACTGACTAAAACTGGCAGTGGACGCTCCGTCTAAACGAAGCTTGAGTGCCGTGAATGTAACCTCAACAGCGCCTGCAAACTGCATTCAGGGTGCCGTGAACGTAGCCTGCCAACTACATTCACGGCGCCGTGAACCTAGCCTACCGTGAACGTAGCCATTGCGTTTAACACACAACCCCTATCACACCAAACAATAGCTCTTGTTTTAGACGGCCACCTTCTAAGACAAAGTGACTCCATTACGTTTTGTCATAAATCATACATTGGCCTCTAGTGTTGTGGGTGAGCCGTCATAATCCCCTGTCGGTTTTGTTAGAGGTAGTCCCTCCAGCCGATCATGTTGCATAGCCCCGTCCCTCTGTTGACCAATTTAGGTGACAAATTTTTAGCTGCTGGTGAGGGAAGCATGTGATCCGTTATATGACCCATAAGCCCCACCTACAACTCATACACAAATCGTAAGTGAGAAGAGTTCTTGAGAGTGGTCACTGTTTACCCAGTCCCTAACAGTTCAATGGACGTCAACGTTAACTTGTCACAGAAGCGTCGCTTGTTCTCCGAAAGGTGGCGACCCATGTGTTTCTTTTACCAAGAGCACTCTGTCCTCCTTGTCTAATTTATAAGACATTTTGTTTTATTGTCACCCTTAAGCAAAAGCAGCAACAAAATAGAAAAAAATAAAATAAAACCCAGCAAAACAACAACAACAACTACGCGGCTACCTTTGGTTGGGACCTCAGAAAGGAAGGGTTTGTTTTCTTCATCTTGATCCTGTCTTATACTGCCACTTTTCTCTTTGACAATGGGTGGCCGTCTTACACAGGTTCGACTGTTTTTTTATCTTCCTAACTCTCTAATTTGTATGAGAAATAACTTTGCTTTGATAAATTGATGGTTTTCATTTCAGCATTCTAGGGACAGTATTTTTATGTGTCTCACAAAAATGGTCTTCTGCTGCCATCACGCGGAAAGTTCCTCCTTTTTAAAAATTCTGCATGACACACTCATGCATGTAAAACATATATATACACACACACGCACATTCACATGACAAAATACTGATTGTAGGCCTAACACAGCATCAAATAGGCCTACTCGCACGTATGTATAGTATAGTGTATATACCTTTGACATTGATTATTTATCCTCTACAATGTGAATGTTGGTTGTCGTTAACTAGTAGACGAACTTTAATTTTAATCTCTTTAGGTTAAAAGGTTAGATCTAAATGATTAAAATGAAAGCTACCATTATTCTGCCTCCCTCCCCCTCCCCCAATCAAATAATGGGTCGTCACTTTTCATTTTATCTGCGGAACGCATAATGAATTGTGTGTGTTTCAGTTTATGTGTAATGACTCGCCATTGCTTTCGACTGTTAGCTACTACCAGGCACCTTGTCATATTAGCGCAGTTCTTGCCTTTATTTTGTTGGTCCACATTGTGCATTGCCCACCTTTAGCCCTTGTACCCCACATCTTGCATTTGAGTATTTCCGTCCTTATGATAATTTAATGAAATCATAAATAATGAAATAGAGGAAATTATTGAATGATTAATTTTCAGACTTGTTGCTGGTAATGTTCACAACAGGAAGAGGCTTGAATTCTAACTGTAAGTGTTAGATTAGATGTTGTTTTTTATGAGAATATTAACTCATTCCTTTCAGGTTCAAGCTCCCCGGAATCCAGGTTATTTTCAATCCTTCCGCACAGTTCAAATTCAAAGTTCTTGTTTTGATGTCACACACTGACTCTGACCACTGAGAGAGAGAGAGAGAGAGAGAGAGAGAGAGAGAGACAGACAGACAGACAGACAGACAGACAGACAGACAGACAGACAGACAGACAGAGAGATGAAAAGCAGGAGTGTGCAGCAGGTGACCTGCAGGTTGCAACCCCGTCCATCAGGCCAGTTAACTGCGTGGCCCTTGCCTTGCTGAGCATTTTTGTATAAAATTATAAAAGTTAAGGGGGTGTAGCTATGGTCAACACCCAAATGCTGTAGTTTTTGGTCTAATGCTTGCTTTTCTGCATCAAAGGGGGTGACATAGTACAAAAAAAGGTTACCAAGCAAAAAATTCAAGATTTTAGCCATAATAATCTCGAGCCATCAAAAATAAAGGATTGATTCAGCATTTTTAAAAACAATTTTATATTTTGTCAATCATCAACACTCATCAAGATAGAAGCCTAATATTTGGCATGGCCATTACTGTTGGTAGGTAGAACAACCTTACAGAGCCAAATTTGAAATTTCTGTACTGACTTGTGAGCCTTACAGTCCTTACTATGCGCTACATTCAGGTCTCCAATGTTTTAAGATTTTGTAAAATAAAACAGGCCTAAAACTCCAAATGTGTACCATAAACAGCAAAAATGCTCCTGTAAAGTTATAGAGAAATGTGTATAAAAGATTGTGTCCAAATGTGAAACAATTCTGACAGTAACTTTCTGAGATCTACTCAAAATAGTGTTGCTACCTGGTCAGATAAACAATTGTGAGAAAACTGCAAAGAGAGATAATTTTTGGTGAAGATTTTCCTACATTGCTGCCTCTCTTAAATGCATTTTCCAGCTATATCTAAGTTTGATAAAGGAATTAGGCTTCTAAAGATGGATCCTTGATATTGATATCTATTAAGATACTCCAAAATCCGAAAACTGATATTTTTTCAAAATTTTTACTGATCTGACCAGTGGATCCCCTTAATTTGCTATCATCAGTTTATTTTCTTTGTTTGATGGTAACTGTCCCTCATAAATTGTTTTACCAATGACCATTTCATTTTTCAGGAACATTAATTTCATATATTTAAAAAATCAATGGCTCATTAAAAAAATAATCCATTTCAGGATCCAGTTGGTGCAAATTTCGGGTCATTCATTATTGGAGACTTACTGCTGGAGGTAACAATGGGACTCAAAGAGCTGTGCTCTTCTGTTCAAAGGCAGATGACAGAACAAATGGCATGAAGAGTGGATCTGAATTTGATGTACAGATGCTTGATGTTCTTGCTTGTCCATTGTCAAAGAAACCTTTACGGTGAGCATACATTTTTAAATGTTGGGGGGGGGGGAGGGTTTACACATGATCACTCTTCTTAAATGTTTAACCCTTTTTACACTTCCTCTTTTTAGCATATAAACATGTGTTGCAGTAGCTCGCAACAGTAGTTAGTGCTGGTATACTACTGTTTATTGCTGGCCCTGTGATCTGAAGGAGCAGTTTTTTGCTCTTATTCTACCGCACATGCAGAAAACCTTGGTTTGTTTTTCTTTAAAACTTTTTTTGGTAAGTGTTTTACGGTGCACGCAACTCCATAAGGTCATATGTGAGGTATCGTGGTGAAATAAGGCGCTCGTCAAAATAATGAAATCAAAGTAATCGGCAGGCATCTTTTTGGCCGATGGGCAATTTTTTTCTAATTTTCTTTTTTTGGGCGCTACACCCATTAAAAAAAGCACGTTTCTGTGTGGATTTTACTGAAAAACAAAATGAAAGGCACGAAAATGTAAACTCTTAAACTATGGAAGTTACCCAACTTTGGCAGCCATTTTCTTGATAATTTTACCTCAGAAACCCAGGCGTCCGTGTCCTCCTTCAATTGCAAATATCTCGACTTCTATTCAACGTAGAGCAATGTTTTTTACACCAAAACAAGCTTTAAGATGATACCAAAAACCCCATATACCCATAAATTGATGTGCACCTGATTCCACCATGTCATAACACATGGGTGCGCAGGACATATTAAACATTTTCAGTTGGTAGGTAATTTTGAATTTTGCACAGGTGTTGTCCGAAGCCTACTCTTATCGATTTTGGACTGCTAATCTTTAATGTGCGCTACGTAAGTGACCTCCGAGATTTTTCGCCCTGATCGAAGAAGGCCAGTTATAGATCTTTCCTACCATAAGATCAGCAGTAAGAAGGAGCCTTAATATTCCCTCAATATTCCCTCAACCCTCATTATAGTTATAGAATTAGATGATAAAATTCAAAACAAGAAAAATCATTGCAGATGGACAAAGAAATTGAAAGAGTTCCTTTATAACTAGTGCTATAAATCTAGTTCACTGCAATATTGCAAATTGTAAAACAGAGTTGAAAACATTCTTGACAACTTTAAAAAAGTCATGGGTAATTCTCTAAACGAATTAGAGGTGATGGAGACCATAAATTTCAGAGATAAATGGTCAACACTTGGGGCATATAATTTAAAAAGCCACAACTTTCCATGGATTTATTTGACAGTGTGAGGTTTATATAATTTGTTTTTCAATGCACAATGCACAGTTACCCAACTTGTTGATTTTAAGAAGTTGCAAAGTTTTGCATTTACTCAATTTTGGTCAATGTTTAAAAAACAATATTTTTCGAATTTTTAAATTGATTTTTTAAATATTGATGAATTGGTTCTGCTTGGTTGAATTTTTATATTCGAAATTTTGTTGAAGTTATTGGGACAAAGGTCGAGTTTTTGCCCTTTAAATGGGTCCTCTTTTGCTTGTTTTAGTCTTTGTAAGGCTTTTCGGCACCCACAACTGCATACAAGGGTCCTCTTTCTTTATTACACCTGGTGTTATAATGACATGTAATATACACGTAAGAAGGAAAACTAACAGAGGTGTTATTATATTTAGATTGCTTAAAACTTTATCCTCGTACAAAATGATCAAACAACTGTGTGATACATCATATGACATCATGTGTAATGTCAATATTATTTCTTTCACAGGTATGATGCTGCTAACCAAGAGCTTGTTTGTGACGACCTCGGTGTCGCCTACCCCATTGTTGATGGTATCCCCAATCTTAACCCTCATGATGGGCGAATGCTAAAGGAGTCCAAAGATGACCAAGGAGGGACATAGAAACTGATATTAGTGATATCTTTCTGCTCTCTAGTTTTATAACATTTGTTTGTAGCTGGAGATGGGTTTGACTGCTTTTGTTGGATGTATTGTGATTTTTTATAAATTATGATGCAATGAATGGTTGTGTCTGGGAAATCATGCTTCAGGTGACAGAATAGTGTTAGTAATGGGGAGAATGTAAAGCGCATAGAGCTTGCTGTTGAGCTGGAATTTGCACTATATAAATATGCTATCTATTATTATTATTATATGCAATATTTTTCTACTGTTTGCTACTTGGTTTTGAATCCAACTTCTATTTCTGGATGCCTCCAATACATTAGATTTAGAACCAGCTCCAGCAGCCTAAGTTATAATATATTGTATTGCAGTGTTTCATTACAGTCAAACTTCATTTGTCATACCACCCGTCCCTTGAAGTGAAGCCTCGTGATTAAATCAGGCGCTCGTCAAAATAATGAAATCATAGAAATTGGCATTTTTTGGCCTGCTTTGCAATTTTTATCGAACTTGTGTTTTTTGGCTCAACACCTTTTATGTTCATATAAGGGGATCCACTGCTCAGATCAGTAAAAATACAGTCCATGCCGGTTTTAAGCATGGTCATCGGGAGAAAGCATAAGCTTGCTTAATGCCGAAACGTGCCTGAGTGCGAAGTAGACATTGTTCATAATCCAGAGATTTTTATGTCGAAAATTTCCTGACTTAGTACCCTTTGTTCGTAAGTAGTGGTCGCCCAAAAGTGTGTGCTGTCATTTTTTCCCGCAATGGTAGTTTTTGTTTGTTTCTTTCGTTTTGTGGTCAAAAGGAAAAGGAGAACTTAATTTAGACTGCCAATCACGATACTGCTCATGAGGCCTACACACTGCCTGTGCGTACCACTGCCCGCTGCCGCTGTGCCACATTCATACCACCTTGTGCGTGATATATAATATTAATCAGGATTATCGGAGAGCGAGGGGCAAAAGTCAAATGGCAGCCAGCCTCCCTTTCTCGTCTCCCCGACTCTCTTTGTATTTTTTTCGTCTGTGTGTAGCTTTGCCCTAGGATAGATCCTATATTCACGTGCGCGGCTGTGTGCATCTCTCTATCTCTCTGCCTTCCTCTCTGCACGTGTGTGTGTGTGTCTCGATCACTTGCGTTCTTTGTGTTTCTCTTAGAGGCTAACACACTCACTGCTGTGGTGTAGACTGTGTTCGAACTTCAATGGGTCATCATCAAAGTATTGACTGTCTTGTAAATGAAGCGTTCCTGAAGCCGAAGTTACGATCTTTAAGGGCGTGTAATTTATAGCAAAATCTCTGTAAGAGCCGTTTAGTGTGCTTGAGTCCGAAACGTGCTTTATGCCGGTGTGCTTAAAGCCGGCATGTACTGTATTGAAAAAAAAAATCATTTTTCGGATTTTGGAGTATCTTTTTATAGATCAGATATCTATCAAGAAACCATCTATAGAAGCCTAATTTCTTTATCAAACTTATAAATAGTTAAAATAGCTAGAAAATGCATTTGAGAGAGGTAGCAATGTAAGAATATCTTCACAAAAAATGACCTCTTTTTGCAGTTTTCTCAAGATTGTTTATCTGACCAGGTTGCAACACTATTTTGAGTAGGTCACAGAAAGTTACTATCTTACTATCTATCAGAATTTATTCAAATTTGCCCACAATCTTTTATACACATACTATGACCTTACAGAAGCAGTTTTGCTGTTTATGGTACACATTTAGAGTTTAAGGCCTTTTTTATTTTACAAAATCTTAAAATATTGGAGGCATGAATGTAGTGCATAAGAAGGACGGTAAAGCTCTCAAGTTGGTACAGAAAATTCAAATTTGGCTCAGTAAGGTCATTCTACCTACCAACAGTAATCACCATGCCAAATATTAGACTTCTATCTAGATGAGTGTTGACAACTGACATAGATAAAATAGGTTTTAAAAATGCTGAATCAATCCTTTTAAATTTTTGATGGCTCAAGATTATTTATAGCTAAAATTTTGAATTTTTTGCTTGATAACCTTGTTTTGTACAGTGGAATCCTGATATAATGAGAAGGAGGGGATCGCTTATAATGAGTCCTGAACTAACGAGAATTCTGTTATAAAGACACTCTTCCTTCTTAAAACCCTGTTTTTTTCTTATCTTTGTAAATAAAATACTACTATAGAGCAATCAGACAAACACGCGAGTTGATAGTTATAGTTATAGTGGAATATTGCTGCTGCTGTGCACAGCATATAGGCCAATTTTACATAATGTAAAACCTTGTAAGTTGAGAAACTTGTGTTGTTGGTGAACTATCGAAACAAAGATTGGGAGAGCCCACGTGTGCCAACAGTGAAGGCCAGAGCGAATGAGTGGGGAGGGTGTGGCATGCACAGACAAGCAGAATGCATCGCGAGAAAGGCCAACCTAGTCTAGGTTATCTAGGCCTACCACGCCTCTCACTTCTCTGATGCGAGGTTGGAGAGGTCACAGTGCTGTGATGGATGGAGCAAATGTGTGACGAGGGCGGAGTTCACAAGCAGATGGAACACACCAAAGGGTGTGGTAAGGTGGGGGCACATCACAGCGTGCGAGTTAGCCTAGAGCCCTTTCTTTCTGATAGCCAACGCCTAGGTATCAACATCGCTAGTGCTAGAGAAAGAAACCTGATTCGATGTTTGATCAAGTATGACCTAGAGAATGTCGAAACAAAATCATCACCAGGGGAAATAACAAAAAGAAATAAACAGAACACCAAACTCATAGATTAGGCCTAGTTTATTATTTTCATTGAATTTATTACTGGATCCCTTATAACGAGAATCCTCCTATAACGGACATTTCGCGCCAGTCCCCTCCCTCTCGTTATAACAGGATTCCACTGTTTTTTGTATTAATCAAGCGAGTTGACAATGACATGCTGTTGTAATTTAATATGAACTGAATTCTCTGATAAAGATGAATAAAGTGGTCTCTGACTTAAGTTGGTGTTGTCATTTATTTTTATGTTCTTGGTTAACTTTTCAACTTGGCAGAATCTATCAACACTTTGCCGCCATATGTCGCCAATCGGCGATGCTGAGATGCTTACCGTAACCACCCAGTTTCTTTGGATTTTCCCCAAAATGCCTTTGCCTTTGATGGCAAGGGTTTTTACTATATGAGCCTTGTGATGGCAAAGAAAGTAGTAAGACAAAAAAACATCGAGAGTCAATACAGTTCCTATTTCTTCATTCTGCAGGCAAAAATTCAGCTGTGTCAATTGGGAGTAAACAGTACCGTACAGACTTTTAGGACACCATTTTTCCCATTAAAATTTTAAGAGATGTATTGAAATAGAAAGTGTAAAATCCAGACCTAAAAGGCCTTGAGAGATTTCAGCAACCTCATGAGTACCTAGACTTCAGCTTTTCACTCAACACTTTACTTGTCTGTAATAATAACTTGCATTGCCATGGTGCCACCTACCCTTTTTCTTTGAACATCGTACGTAGTTAAATTTTATATCAACACAGGCTTCTGACTTACTTTTGACCCTGAATTTCAAAGTTGTTAGAGACAGCAGACCATGTACATATACAGTGGAAACCTGATATAACAGGGATGGTGGGAGTAGAGAAAAAGTCCTGTTATTTACGATCCCTGTTTACTGTTAAATCCGAAATGCAAGGAAAGTGAGCATAATTTGTGGACTAATCTAGCTGTACTTATTCATGAGTAGTTTCCCTAGCCACAAGTATCCACGAACATGGGTTTTGGCACCGACTTTCTCCTTGCGTCCTTAAACCACATCAGAAGAGCTTGGTCCACAGCATCTGCATCGGGTAGTCTCATCTTCTTTCGATCCAGAGCAAACTTTTCATTTGAGTATGCTGCCACTATCTTCTCTCTATCCTTGAAATCCTTGGTAATGGTGGGAATCGACCCTTGTGGCTTGTGAAATGTCGAACTGACGATAAATTTCAGCCAGTGGAGCTTGCTTTTTGTCAACAGTCTTGATTATTTCGGGTTTTTTTGTCAATTGAAAAGCATTTTCTCTTGCGCTTGACATCGTTGGTGACCATAATGAAAGAAGTAGGCTTAGATCTAGGCCGACCGGTCGTCCTCTCTCTCTCTCTCAAGTCTCTCTCTCTCTCTACTCTCTCTCTCTCTACTCTACTCTCTATCTCTCTCTCTCTTACTTTTTTACACATTGTTAACGAGCCTTTGTCCCTGCAATAACCGCTTGGGCTCCGATGAGGCCCTGTTATTGCCGATAACTTTTAATTTTAGTAGAGACAAAGAGTAGGAAAAAACGGAGATTCTAAACATCCCTGTTATTACCGAGCCTGATGGTTTCCACTGTATGTAACTCCCGACTAAAAGTAAAAGATCTCCAGCTATCTCTATCATCCCACTTGATCTCACACTCTGGGATAGGTCTGGTCAACTGTACTGTAAGCCCTTCAACTTCAACATAAGTGCAAATAATTTTTTAAATAACCTTCCACTCAACTTTCACTGTCGTCTGTGGTGCAGTAGTTAGGCACTTTGCCATTGTGTGAAGACCTGAGTTCTTTTCCTGGGTGGAAAGAATTTTTATCAAGTATCTCCGTCTTCCTGCGGTGATGGCTATATATCCCTCTCAACCCTGGTTGGCCCTTGCAGGCAGGGTCGAAGCCCTCCTCTTAAACTTAAATGTTCTATTAAATTGTGTTGATGGGAACATAACATTTCCAAATTAAGAGCCTGTTTTTCTCCTAGAATGTAGAGCCTTTTGGCTTTCAGGCAGCCGTATGACTATCTTCAAATTGAAGTTCAATTCAATGGTTTCTCTAACGAAATGTTCTTCGGGAGAAAAAAAAAATTCTACTTACATATATTTATATTGTAGTTTACACCAGGGGGCTCTTGTTTTCAAGAGGTCCCAGTTTCTTTGACCCAGACAGCAACGGAAAATTGTCTTTCACTTTCACTTTCACTCCTTTCCTGCTCTCTCTAACAATGTTCTGTTGTCTGCTTTCGTGTCCACTTTCGGCCTCCACCCCCTCACCTCCTTTGCCCTCTCCTCTGGGTTCCTGACTCTTCTGCAGCCTTTCTACTGTTACTCCTTGGCCCCTTCTTACTGTTGTCTTTCTTTCAGCCACAGCCCTGATTTTATGGTAGGCAAGATCAAACACCTTGCCTTCTCTGCTATCGGATAAGGCAAGGGTGAAAAATCTCGGAGGTGCACATTAATTTTCCAGATCCCTTGGTGGTCCAAAACTGATGAGTAGGCTTCAGCCCCTACCAGGCGAAATTCAAAATGTCCTACCAAATGAAAATGTTTAATGTGTCCCACACGCCCAACAATAACATACAACGTGTAGGACCTTATGCAGTTGCAAGCGCGTAAAACTTACCCCCCCCCCCCAAAAAAAAATTTTTTTTTTTTTAAATAAAATAAAAATAATTAAAATTACACCTATGATGACTATTATGACCAATATTTGACACAATAATGAATATTTCCAGTCCTTTAGGTCGGATACACTGCTCTAGTCTTGACAGAGAGAGTTCTTAGTGAGCGGTCCAGGCCAAAAGAATTTTGGCTTCCTTTTGCCATCATTTTCGATCAAACTAACATTTGTGGGCTGTCGAAGTCTAGAGATTACGGTGTTTGCCTCTCATTCAATAGTCTCGTATTTGATATCAGACTGCGAGGAAAAATTTTCTTTTCCAAATGTTCTCCTTTCACTTTCATCTCCTTTCCTGCTCTTTAACCATGTTTTGTTGTTTGTTTCGTCTCCACTGTCTACCCCCTTCTACCCAGCCATTCCCCTTTTCGCCCACCTCTGGGCTCCTGACTCTTTCAGCCACACCCCTGCTCTTGGTAGGAAAGATAAGAGTGAAAAATCTTGGGGCTCCCGTGTGCAAGTTGCAAACGTTAAAGATCCCTTGGTGGTCCTAAAATCGATAACAACAGGCTTCGACCGCCACCCGGGCAAAATTAAAAATTCCTACCAAACTGAAAATTGTGTCCCAGGCGCTAATATGACCATACACAGTTGCGAGCATTGTACAATACTAACCAAAGCAAACAACCTAACATTTCCTTCAGTTTCAGACTTGAACTCTGAGGGTACTTGAGCCAGACGGGAGACCATCAATAGTAATGTAGAACAGATCGTAAGCAAGGAACTGGAACCAAGTTTAGGGAGTAAAGACCTGAGCAGAAGGAAGTCTTACAGAGCCAAACACAAAATATAATCATTTTCTCTTTTCATAAAATTTATTACATTTATGTATCAATGTACACATGGAAAAGACCCCCCCCCCCCCTCAAACTAAATATTTTCTTATAATGAGAGTGCTTATTTTTGTCCCCGTGGTTTTATGCACCCCACATGATTAAGTAAGCAAAATTTGATCATACTTTGCATACAGTAGTCTCGGCCTAAACGCACGCCATACAAAAGCACGCTCCGCTCAAACGCACGCTTTCGTCATCTGACAGGTTTTTTGCTATAATATACTATATAATTTAGACGTACAAACGCACGGTCACTCTCTCTAAACGCATGCTCTGATCTACGAAACACGCTGACAAGCTGACAGGTAAAGCTTGACTAAGGGAAATTTTCACTACGACTACTGTACGATCTGCACAGCTTGCAAAAGACAAGCCTAGAAAACCGGATATTTGGTGAGACTGCCCCCCCCCCCCTTTACGCCGAACAAAGAGAGTAGAGAGTGGTGGACAGTGATTTCACAAACAACGTTCCACAGACACATTGGTCTAGGACTGGACGATGAAATGTTGGGGGGGTTGGGGGACTGAAACATTGTTTGATTGGTCACTGGAAATGCATCTCTTTTGAGAGAAGGTTTCTGACTGGTGTTTGAGTGACTGTGTGTTGGCTAATGTTTAGTTAGACTTAAGCCTATGATGCGCAACACGCGTGAATGCTCGTTCATGAATTACGGTTGGGGGTGGTCGCTTGGAAAGCCACGTGGCTGGGCCGTCGTCTCTATGACTATCACCAACAATTTCTTTTTAGGCTATTGGTTCCCGACATTTTATGGTTCATTCATTGCATTGAGTCTGTCTTTCTCCCATTCAACGCCTTTGCAGTCTTAACCGCAGTCGGGGAATCTTTTACAAAACAGTCACGTGTCGTCACATTATCGCCCACAGTGACCCCCACCCCAAAGGGGGGTCACTAGAATATCAAGGCAATGAGATGACTGCGTCCCTTCCTCCCTTTGCAAAGGTTCATGTAAACGCACGCTCCGTATAAACACACGCTAAGGAGCCCTCCTGAGTACCGTGCATTTAGGCGGAGACTACTGTACTTATTCAAGGTCCATCTAAGAAAGTGTCCCATATATTCCTAAAATGAAAACTTGGACAAAACTCAATGAAATTTGGCACTACATTCCTTTATCTCAAGCTCAGTTCAACATTACCACTGCCATCATCAATGTAAAGTCCAGTCCATATATAACAGCCTCTGTTATTACAGGAACTTGGATATATCATAATATATGACAGTGATAAATCAAATCAAGTGTAAGTGATATGAACCTGGCTACAACAGGGTTCAATTTGCTCAGACTCGGATATAAACAGTGATTTTGCAGATCATGAACTTGCTTTCGATCCGTCAAATTTTTAAACTTTGTCTCAACCAAGACATTTCACCTGTTTGTATGATCGCTTGCCTAAACAAACTTTCAAACACATACCTCCCATAGTGTTGGGGTCACTGATCAATTCCATCTGTGTCAGCAAAATAGCTCACTGGAAAAGGATCTGCGGTAATCAAATATAGTACGCTGAAGGAGCAATGGCACTGGTACTTTCCCTTGGTAATGGTTATAACAGGGCACGCTAAAAACAGGGATAAACTGCCGGTCCCATCTGTCCTGTATATCCGAGTTTGACTGTACTTTTGCATTCACAGTATACAACTGTTAAAAGTAGTGAAATAGGAACCTGATCACCTTTTTGGGGGGCAAGTCCAATGTCCTCCCATTCAAATCTTTGTCTACAAATGCTTTCCTTTATCTTTGGGAAAAGATGAAAGTCATAGAGAGCCAGTTCAGGTGAATAGCATGGATGCTCCATTTCCCACGTGTAACAGTCCAGAAGTTTCATCACTATCCTAGCCTGAGGAAGGGAGCATTATCATGATGGAGGAACACAACTACAGACTCCAGCAGACCAAGTCGCTTTTTCAGATGTCTGGTCTCAACTTTTCTTGAAGGACCATTAGTATATAGTATTGGGCATTAACAGTAATTGTTACAGCAACACACATTCTATGGACATGGAAAAAGTTCCTCATCAAACAGACCCTGTGTAACTATGCTCAATAACCCACTGGGTCAGATGATATCATCTAGATTTTGAATCCAGCATGACAAATCTAAAGACAGAAAGAGACTGGAAATATGAAAGGTTTATTTTTCACCCACCTGTTATTGTGACAACAACCCATCAACCGCCTAAAATAGCATCCCACTGACAAAAATGAAAATGAACTTCCAAACAAACAAAACAAGTGAGTGGTAAAGGTAAATGCATGTCCAAACTACAAACAAATCAAGAATATCAGCATTTGATGCTGCCTAAACTTGAATATTCAGTGTCAAACCTAGAAGTTCCATTCCAATTTACTGTACATAAATTACATTTCCTCATAAACAAAGCAACAATGTGTGTAGCAATATGATAAAACGAGTCACATGTCACATCTTGACAATATAATAATAAGACTTTCACATTACAGATCTTGCCAAGCCCTGCAGAGGGGTAAAAACAGTAGCTGCTTAGGTTCCGAAAGAAAAATCAATTGGAATTGAGGAGTCATAAATACAGTTTTCTTTAAGAACGTCAAAGTTTTTGCCTAAGATCTCACAACAGCTCAGCGTGACAAACCACTCATTTTGCCACAATGCCGCACATATACAGCCAATTAAATAAACTGTGAGTGTGATGCCTGCGATGACCCAGATACGTTGCCCCGTAACTGGTGCATGTGGTCAAGCGCTTTAGTAAGAAACTGTCGGACAGTGTTGATCTCCATCACAGTCAGGAAATTGAGCTGTGGAAAACAAATGACTCAGTGTAAATCATATACCACAAGTAGAGTAAGGTGACATAAACTGAGACTGAGGAATCAACTTTCAAAAGAATTTGAAAATAGATCTTTATCAAATGTAAAAAACTTTAATCCCTGACTAAACACATGGTGTTCTGGAGGAAAATTATACTGCTAAATAAATTATATTATAATGACTGCAAGGTCCAGAAATACCGGCACCCCGCCCCTGTGAATTTGAATAAGCTGCAGAGACCTGGGAATGCACCGGGAATTTTAATCAAATCTGTAAATTGACCAGAGAAAATACAAATGTTCTCCGATTATTGAAAACCAAATCGGACCATTTATAACCCGATACCGAAAATTAACACAGTGTGCTGAACGATGAAAGAAGGTCATCCCCTCGTTTCACTGGTCACAGCATGGGCAAAATGCCTATACACAAGTATTTCTTCACACTAAATTATACACAAGATAATATCCTTTATCTTTATACACGTTACTGGTATGAAAAACAACAAAAAAGACACTCTTTCTCTATGGGTATATTTTTATTTCCTGTGCAGTGAATGGAAACTTTGTAACATTGATAAAGTAGTGTAGAAAATGATATTTTTTCCCTTTGGCCCGTCATGCATAGGCCAGTTTTCAGTAGTTAGTCTGTCCCTAGAGAAAGTTGCATTTGAAAATAGCAAAACTTGCAACAAAAATTAGCAAAAGTTGCAAGAACAGTTGCAAGACGCATACCGCTAAAAAAATGTTCATGGAATTATTGGAATGCATTGCTGGTATGCTCATTGCAAACAAAGTAACCGACGTGATCAAAATCAAAAGTAAATGCAACTGTCTACAAAAAACAAAAAACTGCATAGAGGTTGCATGGAGTACAAAACAGTTTGTCCACTGACACATGAGTCAGCTCCCTAAACTCTCGCTGACGTTGGGCAGGTGTGACCAGCGTGGTTTAGAGGTTTTCTTGATGAATCGATCCATGTATGAACCTACCCTCCTAGCCCAAGATTTAAAGTCTTTCATAAATTTTTATACTAGATCTATCTACCTGGTGCTTCAGAACCAAATGCCAGCTAAGTAATCAAAATCAGACGATCATGTTTACAATTGATTTACTTTTTTCTAGATCTAGCTAGAGTAGAAGATGATTCAGTCTAAACAGGACCATTGGGGATAAGGTCAGGTCGGTTTGCCGGCCAGATTGAGGGTGCAAAGCGACGATCGTGGCTCAATCCGATCGCACCCGACTTGTTGCCTCAAAAACAAATGCGTTTGTTTTCAGGCAACGAGTCAGGCAATCATCGCGTCCCAACCTGATCCCATCCGCAATGGGCACCATGTACAAAGGATTTCTGGTACAAATTGACCCCTTTGGCGTCATTATTTTTAGTCTTGGAAGAAAGTTTTGATTATTGTCAATGAAATTTTATTATTATTTTCCCAACTTTTGCTGAAAACGGGTTAAAATACGCCAACTCAAGAAAATGTCAAAAGTTGAGCGCAAGTTGCGGGTTGCAGGCACGAATTTCTCTGAGGACCAGTGCTTCCACCAGCTGAAGCAGAAAAGTAGGGAAAATTCTGCCGTGGGTCTGGGGGCCTCTGCGGCCCCCGGCAGGGTCCAGGGACAATGTCCCGGTGGGGGTTCAGGGCACGAACCCCCCAAAGAAATTGAAATTTAGTACTTTTAGAGGGTTGAAAATGGCATTCGGGAGCCTGTTTGAAGAGATTGTCAACAACCCATACTACCCTATTTTTTCACCAAGATTTTGTCTTGTTTGATTTCTTCACCAACATATCTTTCCTTTGCTGGCAATGTTTAAAAGCAGGTTCCCCTTCTATTGCATGATTACTACTATAATTCAATGAATTTGTCATCGCACCATTGATAGAAGGCAAACCTGGGAATAATGAATAGATATATATGTACCTTCACAATACAGTTACCCAGCGTATACCCTAATTTTTCTCAATTAGTCGCATGTCACTGATTGTCACAACCTTGGAACACCACTTCGAATTATTCTTGATTTTAGGAGTTTTAGCACAAATTTCTTTCATCGCGGCCCTTATCGTGTTCCCGGGCCGTAGAAACTTCGCACTGATAATTTCTCTATATCTAGACAATAAATATGCAAAAAAGTTTGTTTCTGACAGGAATATTCTGTTTAAGATCACAAGCCAATATACTTGATCAACACGCAGATTTTCCAGCCGCAGCAACAATCCGAAGATAGACAGACGGAATGAAGGAATGATAAAAAGGAGGAAAGTGGCTCAAAAAGTTCGCCAGATTTTGATCAATTTGCAGGTAAAAATGCACTGCCGACCAACTCACAATGAATGCATGGGGCATAGCGGAATAATGGCCGATGGCAGGAAATGCGCAATATGGCAGGTTTCTAGAACAAACTTTTGCCTGGAGAATTACCGTAAATATCCATAACTTATACAAGACAATACGAAGGCAAGTACGGAGCTTTTGCTACGGAATTTCGGTAATCCTATGCTGTCGCAGATTTTTACGGAGGGAGTTGATAATAAAGGAGGAACAAGTACGGAACTAGCAGCAAGTACGGATTTCCATAAATATACGAAGAGTGGAAGCACTGGAGGACAGACTTAGTAGAAGATGGTGTTGGCAAACCAGTCCTATATGACTGACATCCAAGGCAATGTAGAGGGCCTACTGCTGCTTTCACCAACAGCATACAACATGGAGTAATTAATGCTTTGTTCAAGAAAAAAAACACAGATCTCTACATTTTTGGTTGCTAATACCATTACATCAATGCAACACAGTTAACTGGATACAGCTTGGAATGTTGAACCTGCATGGTCCAGAAAAGTTCAAATTATTCATGCTTGCCATTGGTTCCTGGCTCAACAACATACCTTTGCATGAGATGCTTCACTTTTCACAAACAAATCAACGCTGCTACGTAGTTTGGCTATTCTGAGGTCCCATATGTCCTTTATCAATGTTCTTACTTCATCTGCTCTTGGGACATCATCAGTTGCACTGAAAACGTAAAAGCAAAAGTGCAAACACTCACATGAAATTAATAATAAATTTGTGTAGCACAATGATTGCAAAATATATTAAAGGGTACTGCTCCTATTCTTATTGATAGAAATCTAAAGCCCTATGACATGAAATCCTTAACTGGCAACAAAAAAAAATCCTATCATTTCAAAGACTGGAAACTTTCATCACACAGCTTTTACATTTATAACCCCCCCTCCAGAGTCAATGCGTCTTATCTTTAAAATTAACATTTGATATTTAAAAAACGGGTCATTTTGACTCTTGGCCCATGACTAGTCCACCATCAGATGTTACTCACGTAGACCTGCATGTGAGCCTCAACCAGATTGTCTGAAAATTTTGCGCAACCCCCCCCCCCCCCAAGGAGCTTTTGTGGGTGTCATAAGTCATAAGGAAGGACTTTCGAGTAACGAGTGACCACCCCAAAAAACACAACAAAGAAGAGACCTAACCCTACCCCTACGTCTACCCCAAAAAAGAACCTGCAACGAGCCTAATGTGAAAAGGCCAGCAAAAGTCAAAACAAAAAAAAATTAAAAATTAAAAAACCACACTCCAAAACAAACAAGGCTTACAAGGAGCATAATATAATGGCCTACATCTAGATCTACATATATATTGCTAGATCTATAATAATAGGGTTTGATACAATAAGTAACACAATAGAATTGGAATATGAATCCTCCATATATAGATCTAGAGCTAGTAAACTAAATAAATCTAGATCTAGATCTAGATCTAGATCTAGTAGAACAAGTGAATAGGATCTAGGAATAGGCCTTGGCCTTGAACTAGAAATCCGCATCCGATTCCGAACAGAGGGGCTCAGCTGAGTCTAGATTCTAAATAAATAAATAATTCACGCACCTGATGAAATGCCTTTTACCAACATTAATATTACAGCACAGCCTATGATAGGGTTGGACAAAATAGAATTGGAATATGAATCCTCCATTGAGGTCTATAATGATCTCTATATAAATCTAGATCTAGATGTCTAGATCTAGATCTAGATTCTATTTATCTAGAATCTAAATCTAAGTGAGTTGGACTGGAATTAATCCACACGATCTGAACAATTGAATTTGTCAACAAAACGAAATTCAAAATGGCCGGTCGAGCACGAAACAAAGTAGATAATTTAGGTCGTCGTCCTTTTTCGTATTCGCATTTCTACTCAGGTTCCGACAATTATGTCGGAAACGCCGACGTCGGCAATCGGTGGTCGGCACGAACACGAAAGTGCCGACAAAGCCGACGGGAGAAAAGGGGGACGCTGGCAGTCGGCCAGGCCTCGCACTTCGCACATTGACTGATACAGGTGGGCCTAGCGATAGCATCGGCCGCCTCGCGGGTCGGGTCGCGATTGTCGGATTTCAGACGATTGTCGGCAAACATGCAGGTATACTCACGTTCTTATTAAGTCATGACATCACCATTAATGGCCGGAAGGAAGGCTATCAACAAAAAAAAGAAGAACTTTAGACTTTAGATAGGATGCAAATAAAAGAGAGAAGTAAATAGAAACAAAACCATCTTCAAAACTACATCCTTGAAAAATCAAAGGTTAAGTTATTGTGGATAAAAATCAGGCTTACTGTTGCAGAAGTAATTGCGTTAGTTCCATATAGTGAGGACTTGGCATTGGTGTGAAAAATCTGCTATCAGCCTCCTCCTGCTTCTTTTCTTTTAAGAATTCTGAAATCAAATGTTTTATAAATATCAAATAATTCGACAACAGGACATTTAATTCTAAGAATTTATTCACAAAAATCAACAGGCAAGCAACAATACCTACAGTAAAATGTAATCTTAAAATAATCAACAACTTTGCATTCGTTCATGATTATACCTCTCCTCAAGTTGAATTAAAGAACTGCCTTTTACACACTCTCGGTTTCTGCCAAATCTCCAATACTTTGGCTTACTTTTCTCCTCATTTCATATATCCCAAGCCCAATTAACTATAGCTCTAAAAATCAATGACAAAAATGGTGGAAGAAAGAAAAATACTACCAGATCTGTCTTTCTGACTTAATAATTTATTCTAGTGAATCAAATTACCACAGAATAGAGCTCAGGGGGTAATGGCTGAAATCTTTCAAAAGTCAACTTAGAGTGGATTGTTAATTTTTGTTACTCAATGAAGAAATAAACATCAATGGATCGAATCAAGAAGAAACAAATTATATTGTACTATTCATTGAGTGATGACTGCCTAATAAGCCTGGGAACTCTTTATTCACAAGTAGAATCTTATAAAGTAAGAATGGAGTGGTTCAAAATGCAGCTTGAACCTTGGCAGTCCTTTGGGTGCGCCTCAATACTAAAGTTGCTATAAGTTTTAAAAAAGATAAATTTAGGAACACATTAGCCTCCTTCAACTTGATATAAATTAATCAAGCAAAATGAAGCTTTTGTATTTCAAAATTAGTCTAAATTATAGTCTAAATTATCATTATAACTGATCTAAAAAAGGTTCAAGGAACACCAAGATCCAATTATTGCAATATTTAGGCTCATTTATTCAAAGTAACAAACCTTTGAAAACAATTACAATACAACAAGTTACCTGTTTCCATCCAATCTGGAGGAAGAATTCTGCATTTCTGTCTCTGCTTCAGATTCACAGCCAGCCACAGTGGCACAGACACTGGAAGTCCAGCGCTGAAAGGACCAATATCCCCCTAGAAAACAAAAATTACGACAATGTCAGTAGCCTGAATACCAAATAAAATTCAAACTGAAAAAAAAATAATTTAATTGCATTTTAAGGTGTTGATATTCGTATCTTAAGTAATATAATTACTCCTTCGTGTCTGTGACAGAGGGCCTTTAAGAGTTTAAAGCTTTCTATTTTGTGATTTTTTTTTTCAACCACTGGTATCTCATCAGCAGTGTCAGTTGTCACTCTCAGGCCTGTTTTGCCCTGTGACTGAAATACGGACTCTACCACATTTTTATCACACATAACACAAGCTGCCTGTTTCTTTCATCTTTGCCTTTTAATTTCGATAGTCGCATAGTTGTCAGGCATCTTTATGCACAATTTCTTTCTACTTATAACTGTCTGAGGGCTCTCGTGGCCTAGAGGTAAAAAAATGTGTTTGCCTCCCCAGGGTGTCCAGCAATATTTCCTCAAAAAATTTACTACCCAGCAAATCAAGCCCCACACCAGCTCGAAAAAGGGAGTTAAATTTGCGCCATCAATGACAAATGTAATTACATAATACATGGAACGAAAACAACACACAACAATTAGTCCAGTTGATAAAATAGACAGACGATCACAAGCTTGGTCGCCGCTAGATGTAGTTTAAGTAAGGTTTTTACTGCACTCGCAACTGCATAGGTGATATGAGCGACAAGGGGTGGACGTCAACAGAGAAGTCCAAACGGGGAATCAAGTTTCGACTATCAAGGCACCCCGGAAATAGCAGTTCACAAGAGTGACAAACATACAAAAGAAGTAGAGGAAATGATGATAGTGAACAAAAGGACAAAAAAAAGCAGCAGTTCCCCCTATGTTGGTCCAGCACACTATGAGCATGACATTGATAATCAGCCCATATTTACAATTCTATTGTGCATAAGAACATGTTAATATCCTCCTTTTGGGAATGGCCTAAAGATGCTTCAGTCAGTAGCACTGCCCTGGTGGTGGTGGGAGGGGAAGGTGGGGGGGCAGATTTAGGCCTACTAATGTGTCCACACAGGGTGACTGCCAAACCAGCGTCTCAATTTTCCAGGAGGTCATCCATTTTCCAGGGCCATGTTACACAATACACACACACACACAAACACGTAAAATATATCCCGTCAACAACATGTCAGTGTCGCACTGGGGTCTTGTTTCACTTAAAAGTATTTCAGTCTGTTAATATTTCCCTCTCATTATTTTATATATAGTGAGGTGCAAAAAAAACGCGAATTTTTTATGTTGTTGAAATCGCCCAAAGCTGAGTTCATAGTTGTGTGATATGAACTCATATCACTCAACACTTGCCTCGAGTGTCTTGATTGGGCATTTTTGAGCATCGCAAAGTTGTCATTGGCTGCGTTAGCAATACACAACTCACGAGTCATCACTCATCACTGGGACACATTTGCAAGTTGTTGTCAGTGGTGAGTTTAAATTATGCTCACTCAGTCCTGGGTGTATGCCTATAAAATCTGCACCTTGAAATGTTGCATTCATATATCGAAACAGACGAGCTACCGACATGCCAAGGTTATCAAGGGAAAACAGAAAGAGAGCTGTCGGACGACTGGCGGCCGGTGAGTCGGTGGAATAGGTGTCCCAGGGTTTTGGTGTCCACCCAAGCACCATTTATTAACCTTCGGAACTGATTACAAGCGACAGCAACAACAGCAGATCAACCACGAAGCGGAAGACCAAGGGGGACAACTCTGGCCCATGACTGCGTCATGATTCGTCTGCACCGCCGTGGTCCGTTTCTGCCGGCTGCAGAGACTGCCAGAACGACCATGGGAACGACTGAAAGCCAACTTAGCCGCTGGAGTGTGTTACGGAGGTTACTGACTGCTGGTCTTCACTGCAGGCGTCCTTACCAGGGAGCTGTCCTAACACCAAGGCATCCACAGCAACGGATACAGTGGGCACAGGCGCATGTCAACTGGCAGAACGCACAGTGGAGGAGAGTCCTCTTCAGTGATGAAAGCAGGTTCTGCATCGATCCAGCGAACGGCCGTGTCCATGTGTGGCGTAGAGACACGACTCGTTATGACGACAACAACATTCTGGAGCGTGACCCCTGGGTAGGCGAGAGCGTGATGATATGGGGGAACCATGGTGTTGAATCATAGAGTGGGACCTGTCCTCTTCCAGAACATTGGTCCAGGAAGTGGAAACGGCGTCACAGCTCAGCGCTACATTGCACAAGTCATGGCACCTCATGTGGTGCCCTTTGAACAGAGGCATCCTAACTTCTTGTATCAACAAGACAACGCACGACCACCCAGAACTTCTTGGCGCAGAACAATGTCAATTTATTGGCACACCCACATCGCTCACCTGACTTGAACCCTATTGAACATTTGTGGGACATGATCCAAAGACAGCTTAACCAGACGCAGCCACGACCTCGAACAGCAGCCCAGTTGACTGCAGCCATCATCCAGATCTTTGATGGCATCCAAAATGGCCAGATCAACCGTGTGATTAACTCTATGAACAGAAGATGCCTCGCTATAATCGCTGCACGTGGAGGCCATACGCGTTACTAAGTTTGCTCACCAAGGTCAAGGTAAACG